TGTTGTCAGAAAGCTCACACTGCCACCTGCTGGCGCGGCACAAGCCTGCATGGACAACACTCGGTGGATTCTGTTGGGAGAGCTAGCGGTGACCTCTGTGCTGGTCTGCGGGGGTGAACGCCATTCATATGCTGGACGTGTTCACATGACGTGAGAGGAAATAATAATATAAAATATATATAAAAAATCTACTGAGATGTTACACTAACGACGTGCCCTTTTTGCTCCACGCAGAGGCTGATAGGCTTTTTAATGAATACAGGTTCCCCAATTACGCGCGGTTTAATGAAACATGGCAAATCCCCCCATCATCGATCAGTTTAAAGGTCAATCTGTTTTCCCTGCGCTTCATATTATTATTTTTTTCTTCCCCTCAGCGCTGCGTTCCATGTTATTACCCGGATGGTGATCAATGCCACATCGACGTGTCCTCTCTCACTCTCTCTCTCTCTCTCTCTCTCTCTCTCTCTCTCTAATACACGTCCACACTTCTGTCCAGCAGTATCCTGCAGTTTAATACCTCCATTACGCTCCATTAGCTTGTTTGCTCTCGGTTTCGCACCATAAACGTGTGTCGAGGCCTGGACACTCTGAACGGTGTTTGGCAGCATTTGAGAACTGACCAGCTGACTGGCCGGTGGGAGTTTCATAAGCGCGTAATTAATGAACGAATCGGGGTCATTAAGGGGGGAAACATCAGCTGGCGGGCGCTTATGACTGCGGTTAGATTTGCATGCAAACAAGGTCGTTTGATTTGATGACCTGCCTTGTTGCTGTAGTTGAGTGCTTTGTGCGCCAACCTGGCCTGTGTACCAGAAAAAGGGGGTGGGGGTGGTGGGAGTTTCGACATTAAAGTCCATTTATTTAAAGTCAACCTGTAATCCAAATTTCCCCCTCTTAACCTCTTCATTACATGTCTCACTCTGCCATATCATTTAAAAGACGAAACTGTTTTGTCTTTTCTCCCTTTAAAATACAACGAGTTTTGCCTGCCTCTACAACATCTTCTGATTTTTGATTACATCACCGTGCACCACCCATATGGGAAAAAATACAATCAAATATGCATTTTTTTAATATGTGAGTCACATTTCAAATATGGTGTTTTAAATTTATATCAAACACTAAAATACAGTCAGAAACAAAAATGAATGCTTTTTTAAAAATGTGATAAAATCTGATTAATACGCTTCACATATTGTCGCTGTCTGAACAAAACCTTGTATCTCCAACACGGTGACTTTACAGCAGAAGGGCAAAACGTTCTTAACTTACAACGGAAGTTAATATAACAAGATTTATTTCAAGTTGTTTTGTGCCATTTCTATTTTCAAATTATTTAAAAAAATAGAAAAAAAGGAAGAAGGAAGGAAAAATAGTGAAACAAAATGGACATACAAGGTTTTTACATGACAGCAACAATATATATATTTTTTTCCATAGGCAGCGGGCAGGAAAAATGATATTAACCCTTTGATGATATTAAGTAAAGAGTCCTGGAATGCAGCTGCCACTGTTTTCCATTTCTAACAGACCTGGTAAAACGTCCACCCATGTTCACAGTCAGGGATGTGTCTAGGACTTCCAGGAGGCCTAGAGCAGGGGTGCCCAGTCCTGGTCCAGGAGATCTACCACCCTACACAGTTTAACTCCAGCCACAGTCAAACACACCTGATTCAGGTAATGAATGCCTTCAGGGGCATCTAAATAATAGAGCCAGCTGTGTTGAATCTGAACTGTCTGGGGTGGTAGATCTCCAGGACTAGTTTTGGGCACCTCTGACCTAGAGTGATGTCATGACACTGGTCCCACCCAGTGCAAGTCAAAACATGATTGGTTGATTCCACTGTCACTGTTGGTAGTTAATCTAACATGTAAGGCCTTCAGCTCAGCTCCTGAAGGCATAATCAGTGGGACAGCTTGCTCTTGGCTGTATCTACCTAGATGCCACATGAAAAAAAATCCTGAGTGGATAAATTTCTTTTGGCTGTTTCAAGACTTTTAACCTTTTTATTCCCAACCAAAACTTAATAATGCACTATAAGACTACCACTATACATGCAGAGTGTAGAAACCATAAGCATGATGATACTAAATGATGATACTAAATAAAAACTAGATGGTACTGAATAAAAATGAACTGAATTACTAATTCACAGACATGTATTTTTAGTTGCCATAAAAAATTATGCATTCTTAGAAAGCCCTGTAAACAGAAACCTCAGAGAGAGAGAGAGAGAGAGAGAGAGAGAGAGAGAGCTGCTGCATTGCTCAAGCACTCTGTACTGTAAGTGCTCCTTCTCACCTTACCTGTAGCAGAGTGGTTAAGTGGACGCAGGCAGGCGAGTTTGTGTAGGGTTTAGAGCAGCATGTGGCCTGAAAGAGCACAGTGATGTGTGGGCACTTAAACCATCTCTGAGAAACTGGGCAGCACTGATCGAGATGTTCGGAGGAGAAAAATCAATCTTGCACAGTTCCCCCCCTTTCCCCAAATATAGTTGATCGGCCAAGACATGTATGATGTCTGACAAATTGACAGTAAAATGGACAGAAGTACAGTGCATAGCGAAAAACAGCAGTAGAACACCTTGAAGCCTAAATTGTGTCTGAATATTTGTCAACTTTTATAAATAACAGTATCTAAACTGTCAAAACTCACCTGCGTAAGTCTATCTGAGATTACTTAACAATGGGACACGGTTTAAAGTAAGTGTGTTATGTTTTTGCCATGCAATGCTAACTAGCTTATATTAGCTAAATTAGCCTCATAGCTCCAGTGCAAAACTATAAGAAGCAAATGTGTCGTGTCTAATACATTTGGAGTAAGTGGAAACCTATAAACTTGTTTCTTTATTGCTGAACTATTGATAGGACACAAAGAATGGGACTTTCACTGGTCACTAGGCTAGTCACAGCACAGCATGTCATATTAGCATCGTCATCATTCGCGAACCATGGCCACATAGCAAGCAAAAGAGGTAGATAAATAACACAAATCTCTGAGAGCTCTTAGTCAGCAGATATTAGACTGATTCTAGAGCCATCCATTGATACATTCTTTAGGGAACCCAAAGTGGTTCTTCTAATATTCTTCTTATCTTCTAATTTGATCTTTTCATTTTCTTCTGATTCTAAATAAATACTAATGATTTCTTGTATAACCATGTTTTAGCACCTGTATGTAAAGCACTTTGAGCTGCCACCGGCATGAATATATAAATATATATATAAAATAAAATATATAAAATTATTATTATTATTATATTATTATATTATTATTATTCTATGGCATCAATCAAAAGACGCCTATATTTTTAAAAGTTGAGGTTCTGGAAAGCTATACAAGTAGAACTGAAGAATTATCAAACTGTTTCATGTCACACAAGCTTTAGTAAACGCTCTTCTTCTGATCCTCTACGTCCAACACACATTGCTACTTATTCACATACCAATAATGTGGGATATTACAGTCGTTCCAGGCAATCAGATCAAACACGTCTAATGCTCCAGTGCTAAAGGCATGAGCTGTATTTGTTTGGAACAACAGGTGGCGCTGTTAGTCCATTGAGCAGCTCATCCACGTCCTAACAGCTCCTTTAACAGATGTGCAAGAATTCCCACAGTGGAGCCAAGTCATCCAATACACCACAGAGCACAGAGAAAATAAGCAATAACCAACTGTCTCTTACGGGCAGAGGCAGAGGAAAATTTTAAACATACTCACAGAGCTTGCACAATTAAACTGGCTTTCCAAGAGCCACTTTGTCAGTAGGGACAAGCGAAAGGTACGATAACTAAAAAAACTATACATATCTGGATTCATTTGGACACACAGTGTACATAGCTTCGCCTGCTACTCTACTGCTTAGCTACGAACTATGACAAAAGAATCAACCACGACCAACAAAATTAGTACTAATATTACTATTAGTATGATACGTATTAGTATTATTAATAATATGAATAGTGTTGAACAAAAAGGCTCAGATCACATTCACACATTACACTCCAGCTTATTCTTGGGGGAAAAGCATTTTCAGTATGTTGAAACTACAAAAAATACAGAATATTTTGGTTGGAATTACGCCTAATGGGTTTTCCCATCGACGTCAAACATTTCAAGACTAAAAGGCTTAGTTATTATATCCATTCAATAATAATATATACAGTGCATATTAAAATGCCATAAGCTAGACACTAGAGGGTATTTAGAGGCGTTCAATATTTCAGTAGGTTTGGATAAGTTTGGGAATATCAAGAAGTTATTATCATATAAATATTGTAGTGGGGTGGAGGGGGTGGGGGGAGCGGGGAGGTGGGGGGCGGGGGAGTTATTCCAAAGAGGCTTAGACAACTCAGAGTTAGAAGTTTTGTGTCCATAAGGCGTCTATATAGCACCAAAAAGGGCTCTGTACCAATAGCAGAACCCTTTTTGGTGCTATACAGAAACTATCTTCGAAAAGGTTCTATATACGACACATTCTCCATCGATCTAAAGCATGCAAATGGTTCTCTGAGTGTTCATGGTTCTATATACATCCATTGTCCTTACTAAAGAACCCCTGAAGAACTATCTTTTTTTTTCAGAGTGTTGCGTAGTTATCTATTAATAACAGTTAGCCTGAGGTTTATTACCACGTTTCTGGTACTAGATTGGATAACTCAATTCTGCAGCTTTTTCACTCATTTAAGGATCATCTACAGATCTGTTGATTGTTCTGGACATATCTAAAGATTTCTCCATGGTTTACAGCTTCCTACACATCAGCAGAAACGTGTGAAGTTGTAGAGATTTTTATTATTTTGCTGAAAAACGGAGACTCAGCACTTTTGAACGCTAGTATTAGAAACGCCGCACTTTCCTCGCTCAGTGAGCGTTATTTCAATGTGACAGGTATCCCGATGATGATTGGACAGCCAGCCGAGTCGCCTGTCCAATCACAATGTCGTGCGCGGAGCACGTGACACCAGGCTTCCTTGTTTTGAATTTGTCAGTTTCGCTGAAGTGCAGTTGGTGAAGTTTGACCTGAAGGTGAGCAGCCTTTTCAGCAGAGCTCAAACCGGGCACTCTGTACTGCACTTCATTCTAATGCGGGCTTAAAAGGTATAACGCGCCACATTAGGGCGCTAATGAAGCGTACATTAAGGCTTTATCGTGAATTTAGTAGCGTTGAAATGGGGCGCGCTTCCCCAAGACCACTGACTCGACTCCGGTGATGTTCCGCTTATTGTAGCGCTTTATCTGCAGGTCTTTACTCACGTATGTCGCTGTTTCCTTCCCTGCTGTGTTTCAACATCTGCTTAAAGTGAATACGGGTTACTTATAAGTTAGTTATATGTGATACCATTAACGGGCACGTCCACCAGTTTTTCAAAATGTTTGCATAATGTAATCAGAGTCTTTCTGAGTGATTTTGAAAAATGCTGAGGCAGAACTGTTCACAGTGGCGGTGATAGGAACCAGACGTCTGAAGGGTTTAGTGCCTCTAAAAACTCCCTCACAGAAAGCCATTATATTAAATGCTTGACCTAAAACGTATGTTTTCTAACCATTCATGGTGGAGAGGTACATGCAGGATGTTGTGAGGCACTTTTTTACCATTGTTAACATTACATATAAAACCTCAGAAGACTCACTGGTGTTTAGGACAGTAAATTAAGGCTGCATTTGAGTTTAAGATCGTGATCCCTGGTTCCCATGAAGACTATGGTAAAGAAATTCAAGTCTGTAAGTTTCTCTTCAGTGTACATGTCACATCAGACCTTTAAATTGTTTTTGTTCTCGATGTATTCATGTATTTATTTATTTATTTATTTATTGCAATCTGATAGCAAGTAATACAGAGGCTAATGTCCTGGTATCACTCCCAATAGTTTTAAAAGTCGTCTTGTGCACACAAAGAAGGGAATTCTTAGCAGTTTCTAGAATGAAAAAACAGTAAATATGGCTAATATTTTTTAATTATATTTGAAAGCCTCTTCATTAGTGTTGTTATACAGGGCAAACAAAAACCATTTGCTCCTGTTCTACAGATTCTACGCATTTATTTGTTCCAATAATGTAATTCGGCATCAGAGACACATTAAAAAATAATGTCAGAATCGTGTCAATACTTCAATATCAGTTCCCCCAAACCTATGTGTTTCAGTTCAGTTAGATACATAAAGTGGGAAAAAGCTTCTTCCACACTAGAAAATGCATTACAGCTGATAAAACGCAACACATATGTTGGTGATTTAAAATCCTTGTCAGTGCTCCTCCATTTTAAGGCTGAAATAGAGGCCTGAAAAAAACATGACACCCATTTTTCAGAATCTATTTTAGACCTTGTATGACATCATAACTACTATGAATTTTCTTTAATGCACAGTCAAATCCACAATGATGTCATGAATCAGAAACACTTCAGCAAACATAAAGCAACATCTTAATAGAAGCAATTCATTTTCACCACACGTCATCATCCAAGTACCATCTGATGGCATTGGCTGAGAAAACGAAACAAAGCACATTGCTGATGTGCTGAAGTGCCCTGCTGTACCTGAGATTTAACCTGGACTCACTGCAGTATCTGAACGTGTTTATCCTGAAAAACAAATTGTGTGGAGCATACTTGGATATGAGTATCTTATCAGGATATGCGTGAAACAGTGGTTCCAGCACTGCATGGTTTTGTGTCCTCCCTCAGCACATCAATAGCCAATGATCAGATCTTTCTTAAAGACAGCTTGAAAATTAATTTGATGTCTTTCCCCTTTTTATTTCATGTCCCTGGTTGTAAAAAAGCATGATTCAACACTGTTGCTTTTCTCGAGCCTCCATCAAAATGTAACGACTTTTGACCACCTTGAAAAAGTCATCTAATCTTTGCTTATGTTGAAAATAATATTAACCAATAATATCATGTTTCACCCTCCTCTTTCCTCCAGTTTACTTGTCACATAACTTAAAAGCTTAGCTAGCTGAGACCCTCCCAGATACCATGTTTTCACCTGTAAATATGTCACAGTACAGGAGGAAAATGCTCTATGAATTCTGATTCATGTTGACTTTTACACTTTTAATTTAAAAGTCAAAAATTCCAATATCTAATGGTATAGCCTCATATTATGTAACATAGACAAAAATTAAACAGACTTCACTAATTTTAGTTAACCTTTAGAATCTAAGCCAGAAAGTGGCTGGTTGGGCATATAATAATATTTTTGACTGAGCTCTGATCAGTACACAATGTAATCCCATGGGTGGGGAATGCATATGACTGCAGATGCAGTGGAGGATATACAAAACACAATACCACATATGGCACATGGTCAGAAAGCTCAGTTTCTCTAGTTTAGCAGGATATTTGTTGATATCGCAAACTGTTGTAAAGTTATTTAAGTTTAAACAGAGTGTCAGCAGCAACGCATTTGGCCTTAACAGGTTAAGCTAGTGGTGAGTATTATACCAGTTCTTGCTATATACTAGTTGAAATTCTTGCTCAGGTATGAGTTTTGTCATAACCATTAAATCGGTGTTCCATAAATAAGCCTAGATAGTGCAACGTACAAACAGTTGGACATGAAGAAATGGCCAGCCTGTTGGAGTTAGCTTAACATGGACAGAACGTTTACTGTGTTTCTTCTCATACTGCCTGAGAAGCCCCTTGACTTGGTTAGTTTTCACACAGCAAGCTGGTACTGACAGAGTGAACGACTGTAATACTTTCCAAATTCCAGCAGTGTTTTATGGTTGGAGGTACGAGTGTACAGGACGCATGTATGAGACAAATGACTTGAGAATGAAACAAAGCTGAGGTTGGCAATTCTCGTTCCACTGCTGTAAAGGTGCAAGAATGTAATTGCTTGTCCATTTAAAGTGGAATGGAAAATTTGAACAAAAACTGCTGAATATGAAGCCAACTTCAGTCAATTAAGGCTTGAAACAACATTTAGCACTGTTTTGCCGGATTCGCAGGGCTAGTGGTAGAAAGCAATATTGATGTAGGTTTACCTATATATCGTTCAGTTTTGTTTTTACTATTACCACAGTAAAAAGATTTCATATATATATATATATATATAATATATATATATATATACACACACATTATATATACATGTGTGTATATAATGCCCACTGTGCTTTACTGACTGATATGTAATTACTTAGATCAGCTGTTTCTGTTACAATATTAAAAGTAACATCTGTGTTTTGTTGATACCGACTAAACCACAGAACATCGATATTGGCTAACAGATACATCTGTCTGCCTCTGGATCTTCATGTTATCAGAGATTGTGACATAAATTGCCCTTGTTACTATAGTTCCCACGGCACTAGTACATGTATAGCAAAGAAGAATGTTGACAAAGAATGAGGCTTTGATGAGGCTTGTCTTCTTTCTTTTTTGACTCACGTAGAATGAAATCTCTGTGGATCCTGCTCTCCCTCGGCTTGCTGCTCCCTGCGCCTTTGGCTCAGGGTATTTCGAAGCCTAATTTCGTGCTGATAATGGTGGATGATTTGGGAATAGGAGACCTTGGATGCTATGGAAACACAACTCTGAAGTAGGCTGCTTGGCGTCACTGTCGGCTTTCATTTCAGACCTTTTGCGACTGAGGTTTTTTCATACATGGCAGCTCAGCTGTACAAAGCATGATCTCTGTCTGGAACTTAAAGAGCAGCCTCAAAGGACAACCATCAGGCTTTCAAATCTGAGCAACAGAACGATCAGAATTTATAACCCAAGGCAGAAAAGATTATCAAGGCTGAAGTGTATAGTTTAATCAAGTGCTTTGAAAGGTTTTCATATAGTCTGATGTTCCAATAACTAGATCTATACCTACACAGGGTCATATAAGCTGTGTGAAGTTTTGAATCTGAATCAAAAAATCAGTCCAAAATGAGAAATCAGTTTTGACCTTGGAAACATTCTGACTGTATGCTTTTGTTCCCTTCACCAAAAGGAATAATATGGTTCCATATTTCAACAAAAATAAAACAGCAAATGCCTTTTTCAATTCAAAATAGACAATAGACTATGATTCTATGTGAAACATACGCTGTTCTGAGTCAGATTTGTTCACAGTGGTGGTTATAGGAACCATAACGTCAAAGAATTTAATACCTCTAAAAGCTACCTGACAGAAAGCAGTTACAAATATGCTGGCCCATGTCTGAGACATTGTTTTAGAACAGTTTGGGGATCAGGTTTTGGCCTAAAATGCATTCTTTTTTAAAATGCATTCATGGCAGAGAGGTACATGTAGGGTGTTCTGAGGCAAAATAGTCCCAATTTTTTTTATTATATTTTTACCAATATCAGCAGGACATATAGAACTCAAAAGACACATGAAGATTCACTGATCCTTTTGGATTGTAAGTAAAATGGCTGTATTTAACTTGTAGACATCATGACCTCTGGTTCCTATCACCACCACTGTAAAGGAATCTGAGCTGGGACATTAACAAATCCAAGAAATTCCACTTTAAGAAGAAACAGAGTCAAAATTAAACAGTTAAAAAAAAAGATGATAAAAATCTGTCCTTTTATGATACATGCAGTTGTTCAGTGTTTTAGAAATACTGATGATACCTGTGATATACTCACAACAACAATAGCATTTTATCAGTTTCAACAATCATCATATTCCCCACCCTTAATTTGTAGTTTAGGGTAAAGAGAAAGAACACCTTTCGTTACCCTAAACTTCAAATTAAGGGAAATAAAACTGAAAGCTGGACCATGCACTTAGCCTTAGTTTTAATTCACAACGGTGTAAAAATTTTGCTTGTTTATTAAAAATGTGGATATGCAAAAGCAAAAAGGGTTATAATGCTCATCCTTAGAATTGATGAGGTTCTTCTTTTTCCAACTTGTCTTACAAATCTGGAGTGTTCTTTTTTGAAAGTTTCCGCTGGACATTCTGTCAGCAGTTGTGTGAAAATGGAGCATGAAGTCTAAGATTGAGCGCAGAGAGCTTCCAATAGCAAGACTGAAGATTAGCACAAAATGTATTGTCCAGCTTTCATAGTAGCTCATCCTTGGTAGTAAGGCATGGTCACTGGTCTCTGCAATGCGGGATACAAGAGGGAGTTACAAAGAAAGAGAAAAAGGAGAGGAAAACATTTGGGGGGAGGCAGTGAAGATTGATATATTATACATTTGTGGTTGCATATGTATTGGGTGATTATGCGTTTGACACTGTTCTCTATGCATTAGATGGAAATGGGATGTAATGTAGCTCATATGATAAGGATTAATGTTTGAGATGGTACAGAGATAATCACTCACTGAATGAGATGCAGTTCTGTATGAAGTCAGATTTAATATAATGCTGTTTTTTTGTGCTCTCTAGTCTTTAACATTTGGTGTAGAAAGGAGATAAACGCTTAGGTATACCTGGTTAGTCACAAAATCCTCCATCAGAATCAGAATCTTTTATCTCCAAGTGTGTACAGGGATAGCATGACATAAAAAGACATCCACTAAATGTGATATGAGATACTGAATGGCATACTGAAATTGAAATAATTTAATCACAAGTGTTACATTTTTGTATTCAGTGTTTATAAGGCATTTTTTTCACCAGCCAGTGCAGTACAGCACAGAAAAGAACCAAGGATAGGCAATATGACAGTATTAATTGTTATCGTGATGGATTTTGCCACATTGACTACGTCCAAAACTGCATACAGTCATACTATACATACTACAATAATAAATGCACGTCTGGATGTTGCCATTACATACAACATGCTTTTCAGAGCATAAAATTCATGTTGTTATTGCTTGGAACAGTGACCATCTGCATGTGTCATTAAAAAGAAAACATAATTAGGTCTGATTAACTGCATTTAATGCATGCCTCAACTTGAACAGGGCAAATCAGAACAACCAAATAACATTTTGTTGTATATTCTTTGCATACTATTTTGCTCTATAATGACCTGCATTAACATCTCCACTATGAATGACTTTAACATTTTAGGCCCAGATCTGATCTCAAAACTGTCATAAACTGTCTCACACATCAGGCAGTGTATTCGTAATCATTTCATGTGATAACTTTCTGTGAGGTAGCTTTTATTGGCAGTTAACTCCTCATATGCCTGGTTCACCATTGTTAACTATCCTGTTCTATTTTAGAACAGAGCTTTTATCAAGTCATATCAAACCACTGAATGACTTTGTTTACACATTAGTCACCTAATTGTGCGAAAATTTTGATAAATTGTCATTACCGTTTGCTCTGCATTTGGTTTTATGTGATGACAGCAATTTTGGCTAGTTTCTAAGTGATGACTCATGATGACTGAGTTTGGACCACTGTTTTGTAGCTCCAACCACAAATTCTGTCTTGGCATGCTTGGTACCCCGCTAAGAAGGGTAACAGTACAGTTCAGTGGGCAGTGAGAATGACGACAACATGCAGGATCACGGATTTGTGTCCACATTTCTCAGTAACATAATAAACTATGATTTAAATCAATACTAAATTATTACCAGCACCACAAATATTCATAAAAGGTGTGATGTGTGTTATGTACTGTTATATTATGAATATTATTGCTAAATACAGTGATCATTCAGTGCAGAGTAGAAGATACAAATTCCCTTAATCTGCCTGACTGCAGCAGCTCTGCTGGTAAGCACTGTATTTTGTGATTTTCACTGCAGGACGCCTCACATTGACATGCTGGCACGGGATGGGGTGAAGCTGACCCAGCACCTCGCTGCCTCCCCCCTCTGCACTCCCAGCAGGGCAGCCTTCCTCACGGGCAGATACCCCATACGGTCAGGTCAGGAGCCTGTAGCTCTCAGAAATGCACTTTACTGAAGGGGTGTAATTTAGAATTTAGAGTCTGTGTAATAAGCAGAATGTTCATGTGGTCTCGAGAGTGTTGAGAGCCCTATGATGCTGAAGACACCAGAACATAAGAGCTCCCTCTGTCTTTCTATTATTGTAGCTTATCTGTTAGAAGACGGACTACAGGTCATTTTTCCTGCCTAGTTCTGGGCTACATTTTCCTTTCAGTGGAGAATCTGCATTCAGAATGCTGTTTAGTCCAGGACTAAGCTTTGTCTCCCTGTCCAGGAAACCAAAACTAGACATAATAAATGTTGAAAAGATGTTTGACTGCCTTTTAATGACATCTAATTCTGTATAGATACGTTTATTTGACGTTAAAGGGGCCATGTATGCTACATTTCTTCCTACTGAGGTCAATTTATGACATTTGTTTATGTACAAAAACACTCATTAACTTCCATGAACATTTTGCAACCTCTTTTTTTTCATCCCTTACATTTAACAATTGATTTTGCTGCTGTGCCCCTTAAAATTGATATAGGTCAGTGGCCTCTTTTCTGATTTGCTACCCTAGTGTCAGTAAGAATGGGCAAGGCTACACTTCTGTAATATGAATAAACAGATATATGTGAGTGTGTTGGGTTTTCTGTGACATCTCAAAAACAGTTGATTCGAAACAGGACATGGTTTAGTTTCAAAATATAGACTGTGGAGTGATAGCAGTATTTGCTTACTACATCAAACTCTCTTATTAACAAATAAAGGGGAGTAAAATTCAGTCTTCCATGATATGTGTCCTTTCCTTTATTTTTTCTGGCGAGTCTTAGTATTTGCTGTTTAATCACTGTTGCCTGTCTCCAGATTGGGACTCATTCAGCTAATACATTCAGCTGTTAAATGATCTGGTTTGTTTGTGTCACTTTGGTACAGGAATGGCCGCTCGTGGCCGTGTTGGGGTATATATCATCTCTGCAGCTTCTGGTGGACTTCCTCAAGAGGAACTCACTTTCGCCAGGATCCTCAAAGAGCAGGGCTACGTGACTGCTCTAATTGGTATCCAGCATATCATACATCATACAAAACATTCGTTTACAAAAGAGATTTAATGTGCCATATTCATTTGGTTTGGAACATTACAAATCAATTGATGTGTTCTTTTATTTACCCTAAGGGTAGACATTCAAACTCAGAGAGTTGTAATGTTCATGTATTTTTTCAGATAGAATATTTGTGATAATAAGTAGAAAGCAAGAACCATTTGTATCATGCAAATGACGTACACACATTATTGTGCAAATGCATTCATTCAGGCATCATTGACTTTATTTTTCCTAACTTCTATGAACTAGTCAGGTCCAGACTTCAGTTCCTTGCTCTAATAATTAAACATAATAATCTCTTAAAATTAAAGGTTTCTAAATGGTCCTTATGCGGAGGTTTTGTAAAACCTGTAAAGCCTTTTAAAAGTCTCTTCACATTAGCACATCTCATTTACGAAATGCTTCTTCAAAGAACCATTCACCGAAAGGTCTGTGATGTACGTCCAGAGGATCTGCAGTTTTATTATTTTTTTAAATAGCATGACCACAGCAGTGATCACGTTTCCTGCATTGTACATGGCAAACTAAGGTAGCCTACTATCACTCGCACTTATACTGTCAAAGCCAGTATAAACTTGAACCAACAGAATGAAGATATGAGAGATGCCACAGTGTCACTAGGCTGCTTAATTATTAATGCATAATGTCTATTGACCTGGTTATTTAAAGTAGATAGGAAGCATGGACAAATGTTTGAAGCTGCCACGTAGTTAAAAGAGTCTAACTTGGTAATCAAGGATAATCGAACCTTTATTGAAGCTATCAAGAAAAATATTATTTCTGTTATTATATTAGTTAGGCACTCCTTTTTGAATAAATTCATGGCATCTCTCACACCTACTACGTAGTGTAGTGGATAACATTCATGCTTCCCCTGTGGGAGACCAGGGTTCAAGCCCCACTTCAAACAGGAACTTGCATCATTTTATAGCATTTAAATTTTGCCAATATGTTGACAAATATGTAAGTATATTAAAGTATATGCACACATGTATAGATTAAATATATTCAATGGTGTCGATTTCTTTTTTTTTAATGGTGTCAATCTCTTTTTGTAATGGTGTTGATTTCTTTTTTACATGGCTTGATGGAATAAATCAGTTTATCATACAGAAGGAGTTTTCTATTGCAAAAAAGTTGCAAACCCCTTCTTCAGAGAACCAAGTATAGTCATTTTTAAGTGCTGAATAATTCATAGCAGATACTGGATAATACACCTTATATAAAAAAAGCCTTTTAAGGTTCGTGTTTTTTTGTCTTTTTTAAAACACTTTCTAATTTCTCTACAGGCAAGTGGCACTTGGGCCTGAACTGTGAACATAGCAGTGACCACTGCCACCACCCAAAAGCACATGGCTTCGACCACTTTTATGGAATCACCTTGACCAACCTACGGGACTGCCAGCCAGGCCACGGCTCCATTTTCTATAACATCCATGCCCACATCCCTTACGGCACACTGGGTGCTGCTTTGGCCACCCTCTTCTTCCTCCATGCTACTGGAATTATAGCCATATCCCGAAGGCTAACGCTGGGCCTGGTGGCATTATTGATCATGGCATTGGCTCTGTTTGGCTTGTTCATCCTCACCTTCCCCAACTTTAACTGCTTCCTGATGAGAGGGGAGGAGGTTGTGGAGCAGCCATATGTGTCAGAAAATCTAACGCAGAGGATGACCAGTGAAGCGGTCGAGTTTCTGGAGAGGTCTGAGAATGCTCATTTTTTACTAACTCAATGCAAAACTTATTGAAAATAGGGATGTCCCAATCTGATTGGCTTATTAAGTCATATATTAATGTATTATTATCAAGTATATTAAGCACAACTAAAAAGCAAAAAGCTTTTTTAGCGCATTGTGCTCTAGTTAGAGAACTGTCATAGAGGTGTCATGGACAGTGTCCGTAATGTGCAACAGTGAGGCACATTGTTAGATGTTAACAAATGGCGTGAATGTTTGTGGTGAGGAACTGTTTAAAAGTAGAAGATAAAAAACTGGTAATATCTTCACTACCAGTTAAGCTGGCTGGCTTTGGTGAAAAATGTGAGTGCATGCATATTACACATTTGGTGGTAACAGCTGAGTGACAGGATTAGCCTGCTTCGCTACTACATAACCTACATAAATTGAAAGACTTGCCTGAATAAGTTAATACTAGAGTATTCGATCTTGACATTACTATTTGTTTCTCTATGTAGTATTCTGAAGCTTCATCTTTTTCAAGCCATACAAGTATAACCTAAACGCCAGCACATTTCTTTAGCAAAAACCTAGTAGATAGAACAGTTAAATATTGCAAGTTTAAAAAATAAGTAAATTACAGCTGGTTTTGTTGCAAACATTATAAATTCGTAGCAGACACCCACATCACCTTGCTTCAGAGCACAACTGCACCACTTTCTATGTTTCCGCTGAAGAAATCACATGTGGGACCACAATTATTGGACAATAAGAAAAATGCTAAGTGGTAATTTGTGGTAAGTGGTTGCTATACCAAGGAGGCAGAACAAATGAATCGCCTCGAATATGTAAGTAAAGTGATACTTATTCAATTACTGCTCATTTAATTTCACTATGATCAAGTCTCAGCTAATTGTAAGAGTATTTGATGGCTCTTGATGCTAAAACCAGGGAGCTTAGCGCCTTGAAAGTGGTTGGTGTGGTGAGTTCTGGCAGCGGATGAGGAGAGGAACGTCAGTGCAGTGGCATCATGGCTGCTCTCAGGCAGACTGGTCTAACCAGGGGGTGAATTTCACTCTAGTCAGTGACCTTTTAAACCGCAGACTGAGAGCCACATTCAGCAGAGTGGAAGTGATCTGTTTCCCACTGCCTTGCAACCTGTTCTTTGAGTTTAGTAGCAGGTCCGAGCAGGGTACCTGCCGAGCTGCTTCTAGGGTGGTCCTCCTTGCGTTCAGAAGAGCCTGTAGCTTCAAAAGCTTCCTGATCATCTGCTCCCCTCTCTTTAGCTCGACTATGAATAAGCTGAACCTGGACTGCATTTCGCCCTCACTGAGGCTTTCCGTGATATAAAACGGTGAAGTAGCCAAATAAAATAACTACATAGAAAAGCAATAAAGTTATCATAGAATTATTGCTTAATTTCTCACTAATTCGTTACACCTGTAGCATGTGTATACACGGATTTATGGCAACATAAGCACAAAGGCTGTAGGCATGCATCTGTGTTATCTACAGAAATACTAATATCAGATCAGATTTGGAATCGTTGGGGTAAAGGATAAGATTGGGGCAAAAACATTTCATTGGGACATCCCCTACTTAAATATGAGTCAAACCCGTGTTGACTGAGTTTCAGTCATACACTGAACACGGAACTGTTCCTTTAAATGTTTGCAAATTAAATTTAAAGGTAATCTAGGTAGACTACATTGTTATTTACTTTGACAGATTAGGAAAAATGTCATTTTTTTGTGTGTAGTGATGGGTAGCTGTTAGCTGTTTGCAGTTTCTTATCTGTTTGCTTTGTCAGCAGGGATGTTTGTCATAAGGTGTGTGCTGTAGGTAAGATAGCCAACAATGTATTATTACTGCTATGAAATCAGTAGAACATTTCCTGCCTAACTTTGTTCTGTAATGTCAGCAGTGATGAGACAACGCTGTGTAAAGATTCCCACTGTTAAAGCTTTTTCAACATTTTTACGTTTTTTTTTTTCATCAGGAACTCAGACAGACCCTTCTTGCTCTTCTTCTCTTTCCTCCAAGTCCACACGGCTCTCTTCGCCTCTCCACGCTTTCGTGGCAAGAGCCTCAGCGGTCTCTATGGCGACGCAGTCATGGAAGTGGACTGGAGTGTAGGTACTGATTGTGGACATTACACTTCAAAACTTTTGATGGAAAATGTCACAAGACTTTTGTTCTGTGTACGAAGTGGAGGAACCAGCACTATTCTTTGTTTGCAGTAAAAGCGTTATGAGAAAATGGGCATTCATTATGAAGGTCACCGTGACAACAGCAGCAGCATAATAGTCTTCGTTTTATATAACAGATAAATCTTGTAGTCATATATGACCATGTGGTGCATTCACAGACCATAATGATAGAAATGATTTAAATAATGCAGTGTGTTAGTTGAATTCCGAGTGGTTACCACAGCAGCAAGCTGGCTGGCAAAATAAGGAAGGTCTCCATAGAGCTAGATCCAAGCTAGATCCGTCCAAGATCCAATCAATTTCTTAACTGCGTTGTGTGGGAGGTACTAAAATTTTGTTTTCATAACAAACAGTTCTATCTTTTCTCACATTTCCACCCAGGTCATAATGCATGTCTAAATTAATATGTAGTTTCTAAATTATTTCCTTTATTCTGGCCCGATGTCAGTAATGGTAATTCTGGCTTTGTTCAAAAGCTTGCAAACTCTTTCTTTGTTTTACTTCAGATTTTCAGTCTGCTCTGCTGTTTCCAAACCATTTTGCACACAATCATTTCTGATGAACAAAAGAAAAATTGGTAATACTTTACTTCAAGCCTGCTACATAACATTGTTCAGTAATGCAACAGTGTTATGTTACCTTTACTGTTAATTGTCATGACAGATGCTATAATGGTTGATTCAGCTGAGCAAAACTTTGTATGTGACATGAACAAAATCTGTCATGACAACTCATAACAGCATATAACATCTTCCATAACATGTTTAAAGGTAAAGTCTTTTTGAGGTAAATCAAATTGGTTCTTCAAGGATTCTTTAGTAAAGGCAATGGTTCTGTATAGAACCATGAATCACTCATTTGAATACATAAATTGTTCTTTCCGTGGTCTAGTGGTTCGTCTCTATGATGGAAAACCAGTTGTAAATGGTTACGTACAGAACCCTAAAAAGGTTCTACTATTGTTACAAGCCAAAGAACCCTTGCTGAGAGTGTATGCTAATGAGCTGGACTGTGTTGCACCTCATCAAAGCTTGGCAGGTTTTGAAATGACAACAATGAATTTGCCAGCAACCTACATCGTAGCTCAGTGTGATCTTTCACACAAACACACGTTTGAAATTGATAACACATGCTAAATGTGGGTAGTTTGACAAAGCTGGGCTACAATTGCTTATCAGGTTGAATAGAGTTTTCGCCTACTTTTTGTAAAGTTTGCTTTGCAGTGGTTTCGACCAAAGGCTATTAAGTAGAACATTCTGGAATAGAATAAATATGTTGTGTTTTTGCTGCTTTTAGGTCAAATAATGAAGACATTGGAGCAGCTGAAACTGAAGGAGAAGACGCTGGTTTACCTGACCTCAGACCAGGGTCCACACTTAGAGGAGATATCAATCCATGGGGAGGTGCACAGAGGCCACAGTGGCATCTATAAGGGTAAGTATATCTGAGGCAAATAAGCAGTGAGTAGAACATAAATGTACAAAGAAAGTTGTATGTAATTCACTCTCCAAATATTTGGAATAAATTGTCATAATAATATTTTTGTGTTATGATTGTGTTAACGTTTATTTTAGGTGTTTTTTAAATATTTCAAGAATTTTAAGAACAAAAATAATCTGAAAATGCACTATTTAGAGTCATTTTTATTGTGTAGTTATAAAGCTTCATCATTCACTTTATTCTTAACTTCACATCATTCATTTTATTCCTAACTTGTCAGGGCCAGCGTAAAAGGAGATATATTCTTGTGATTACAGATCCTCATTTTTTAATCACCAAGCTGAAAAAGATGGGAAAATGCTAGCGCTCTCTCTCTTTCTGTGTGCATGTGGGAGGGGATGTGCTTCACGTTTAATTAAATATTTCATTTGAAATGCCAAGTGTCCACTAAGAGTGTTCAAGAGTTCTTGAAATGAATATTTTAATAAATATCAAAGTTCGAAAATGCGCTTTTCATGTAATTAGCTCCAAATGCTAACTGTGTTTCCTCTCTTTTTTGAGTAGCAGGGAAGTCAACCAATTGGGAGGGAGGCATTCGAGTCCCGGGCATCCTCCACTGGCCTGGTCAACTACCAGCAGGAAAGGTTATTGATGAGCCCACCAGTAACATGGACGTCTTCCCTGGTGTGGTGAATTTAGCAGGAGCTAGTATTCCCAATGACAGGTGAGCCTCTGCCACCCAGCAGCTCAGTTGTCATCTGTCACTCAAAATGACAGCTTGCACAAATCTGGGTCACTGTGGTGTATCCTATCCTCTGTGGTGTTTGGCTCATTTGATTCTGAAAAACAGAATTTAAGCAAGTGCTGGGTGGTATTGATAAAATTCAATATCACAGTATTTTCCTTTATAATAATATATATCGCAGTATCACAGTGTCAGATGCTATTTAGTGTACCATTAGGAAAGTCAATGACCTCATGCTCACTAAGTACTGATACTCAGTGGCTTGTTTTTATTGGACTGGACTGTTTAGTTCTGTTCTTTAAAATTACACCAAAGAAAACCTTACAGTACTGATGCCACACTGAAAAAGTCTAAATTTCTAGTCAAAATGGCCATTAAACATAATGATTTTTCAGTGTCAGGAAAAAAGCAGAAGACAGAAACTTAAACAGAAGCCTTAACAACTAAATAGTGATATCAGTTTTTTCAGTATTTATTACTGAAAAAAATTGCCTTTATTACAGCTAGATTTTCTCTTCTCTCTCAAAGATGAAAGCTTTAAGTGCTGTTTATCTGATGAGGACAGTTTGGTGGTCTACCAGGTCTTGTTAGGACCCATTTTCTCTAAAACTTCAATAGATTTTTGAACTCCAGTTTTGGAAACCCTTATTTTTTCACTTATTTTCACTTTCCTCTTTCTTATGCATCTTATATCTAATCTCGTGTTGGACCCTTCTCTGTAATTTTCTGTTAAATATATGTTTCCTGCTTCATAGCTTATACTTAACGGCTGTTTTGACTGGAGTTTGAATAAACAAATGGGTGGCCTTTTTATGCAGTACTATTTATTTGGTACTATTCTTTTTGAAGCAGCCAGCAAATTCAGTGCAGTTAAGTTTTAGTTACCTATGTGTATAACTAAAATTAATATTAATCTTGTCTGTTTTAAGCCACTGGTGAAAATCTCTGATCTCACAGTGACTGGATAAAGTAACAGTTACTTACCAAATGATTCAGTCCGTCATGTAACCTTATTTCACCATGATTGAATTTGCTTATTTTGGTATTATTCAATATAATTTTTATATAATGAATTTGCAAATTCAGTGTGTTTTAAGAAATAGTACTATTTAGTGCAATATAGGCAATTAAAACAGTAAAACAAGCCTTTTTCTTAGTTTCTTTGCTTGTTTGTTTTGATTTTTCTGTTTCATTTTTTTTTTATTTGGCCAAAAAATTATTGCATACATTACTGAATATTATTATAATTACTTATAATCCAATCTATAATTACAAAATCTATCCACTTGAATCGACAGCTGGATTTTTACACCCCTAAATTTAAAGAGTAGCAGCCACCAATCTGTAGTCAGAGTGCTGCATAAAAGTTTTGCCAGATCTAAAAAGTAAACTCTGAAAGCTGGTAAGTGAGGAGGAGGTCATGGGTCAGGAGTCAGATGCCTTGGTCTTTAGTACAGAGAGCTCATATACAGTACAATATAGAATTTTTAAAATTTAGGATTACCACCCACACTGCTGGAAATACCCAATCTCTCTCTCTCTCTCTCTCTCTCTCTCTCTCTCTCTCTGCCTCTGTCTCTCTGTCTCTGTCTCTGTCTCTGTGTGCTTTAGGCAGATCGATGGCCAAGACCTCATGCCTTTGCTGCAGGGTCGAGTGGAGCGTTCTGAACACGAGTTCCTCTTCCATTACTGCAATGGCCATCTGAATGCTGTGAGATGGCACCCTGCTAATAGTGAGCCTCACCATGCATATATAAATATATGATTTATGTTACAAAATGGGAATTTTCTTTTATATAATCTTTAAACTATAATTGCTTTTATGTATACTGCAATAGATGATTCTTCTGTGATCATTTTAATTTAATGTTTTAAAACAACGATTATGCCTCCCATTACAGTAAGCAACAATCAACAGATTTGCCTATTATTTGCTCACTGTTTGTTTATTAATTTGGATATTTTTTATTGACTTGAGAAAAAGACATGTACTATGGCCTTCTTTACTTCTGTTAAAGGAATAGTCCAGTAATTTTAACCTAATTTCTATATAACAACATTTGCAGCATACAGTAAATTATCACAGACAATTTTCTTGTACTTTGGACATAAAAAGTCAGTAGGCAGGTGCTTCACATTATTTAAGAATTTTAATGCAAGTAGAGTTTTGTTATTGAAATCCCCAAAACATCACAGTGAAAAGGCTGTACTTCATCATGTTTTCAAAAAGAATGAAAATATATTACAGTTAGGAGCAATACTTTAATAATGGAGCAAATATTACTTACCTTAACAGTTACTGGGGAATTACACCAATTGTTCAAAATTACTGCATAATTCAATCCCAGAGCTGTGGTGGTTTGATGTGAAACAGATATTTGTACAGAAACATACAGACTCTGATTTATTTATAGTGCTAGTGATAGGAACCGGGGGACATCATTTTAACAACACAAATATAGTCATTTTTACTATCCAAAATGAATACTACATGCTTTTTTCTGAGTGTTTATGTGTAATATTGCTAATGGACAAAATAGTAGTAAACCTCTAAAAGTAGTAAATATTAGTAAAAGGTTTCTTTGGTGGACAATTTTGTCTTACAACACCCTGCATGTACCACTCGATTATGAGTTAATTAAAAAAATACATTTTAGTCCAAAAGCTTAACCCAAAACTTTTGTTAAAACATAAAATTTGAGAATATTCATAACCATTTCAAGTTACAGTTTTCTATGGGGTACCTTCTAAAGGCATTAAGTGCTTCTAACGTCTGGTTCCTATCACAACAACACTGACTCTGCAAGTTACTCCACTCTGAATGACTTTGCTTGCATGTTAATGACTGCATTATGCAGAAATGTTGAAAAAAGGGTGGAATTCTTGATTTCCTGATGTTTGTGTTTTAGGTAGAACAATGGCCGAGACATTTTAGTCTGAAATCAGCTGCTTCTGTTCCCATTTCTAACAGGTACCTCTGTATGGAAAGCCTTTTTCTTCACTCCAGACTTTTACCCCGAGAATGCAACAGCCTGCTTTCACACGCACGCCTGCTTCTGCACTGAAGGCTACGTCACCCGTCACGACCCTCCGCTGCTTTACGATCTCTCCAGGGACCCGTCTGAAAGCACACCACTGACCCCAACAACTGAGCCTAACTTCACCTCCGTTGTGGAGGTAATGGTGGAGGCAGCGAGGGTCCACAGCCAGGGCGTAAAGCCTATGGTGGATCAACTCTCGGCTGGCCATTTGCTGTGGAAGCCCTGGCTCCAGCCATGCTGCTCCTCTCTCAGCCAGCTGTGCAGGTGTGAACGAGACCACCAGAAAGGGTCTCTGGACACCGAGGTGGAAATACATAGCAACTAAAAGGAAGGTTTGTGAAGATGTCTAATTTCTTCAGTTGCACCAGCATCAGGGGGACCTTATAAAAGCCAAAAGCTTATAAAAGCTCATGTCAACAGGGACAGTTTATGTGCTGAAGTTTATAGAAAGTAATTTAAGGTAATCAGAAAGTTATTTGCTTAAACATATAGTAAAATCCTGTACAGAGCAACAAAACATTTAATCACACTGCACTGAATGAACTGAATGTTTTTAAATAAGAAACCTCTGAACGGTGGTCTTCGGTATGTTCCATGCTTTGACAAGCAACTGCTTAGTGCTTAGGAAATAATGGCTTTAAATGGCGTCACAGTTTTTCTATGTTCAGGATGGTGCTTCTTGTCAAATGAATAATGAAATATAGTTTTGTATTAAAAACAGTGTTTATTGTTTTTCTTTGACCAACCAAGACTTTTAAAAGGCCCAAATCATGAAAAACAAAATTAGCATTTTTTGTTATAGGTAAACACTGTTAAAGTTTCAAAACACCATTCACTTCCCAGTCCACATATGAAGATTAAGCTTCCAAAAACAGCATGGTGTACTTAATTTATTTCATCAGATCGATGGGCAAGAAATAAAACAGAAGATGGTTTACTGGATGGCTGAATAGGAGATCCTTAATGAATGACTTTATGTAACATTGGTAGTTTACCTTTTCGTCAGTTTCCTGTGCCATTGCAAAAAAAACAAAAACAAATGTGACTTTCTTGAAGATAGATATAGATAGACATAGAAATAAAAGAACAGCAATGACAGCTGAAAACATGCTGAAATGCTGCAAATTAGTAAATTACAGGGTGACTTTATAGCGAGAACAATATTAAATGTATTTTCTTAACTTAATTTTATTTTGTTTTGTACTGATTCGATATTAAATGTGTCAAAGAAACATTAGCTGCTTATTTGCTAATGTTGTGCAGTAATTGAATGTGTTGCATGCAGCTTTGCTATGTATAACCGTCACTTCCACACAATGCAGTTTCACTGTGTAAAGCCAGCCTTCAGGATAAAGAGAGGTTAAAAATGGCCACATAAAAATGAATTCTCTTGAATGACTCTTTTCGGTACATAAAACCACAGAAACTTCAGAAGTGGACCTCAGGGAAAACAGTAAAATACCAGAAAAATGTAGAACATGGGCTCGGTAAAAAATACAGAAGAGGTTCTTTGCTCTCTTTATCTGTCCTTATGTACAGAAAACCTCCAACTTGTCGGTGGAATCGGGCTGATTTCAGATTACAACCACAGCTACAATGATGATGCAAAGCCAGTGAAAACCAATGCTGAATGACAGGCAGCTTTCTGTCACTCAAAGAGCAATGCAGTATGAAGCTTGTTTGTCCCACTTTAGCTGATGTTTCCTCATCTTTTAAAATAATTTGCCTGTCAGTGTTAGTTGTCGCAGTCGCCACTTTACTTGTTTTGGTTTGAAGAAATCCATTATCGTTTTGTGGTGCTTCATTCTTTTGTTTCATCGCAGTCACTCCCTGACGCCTGTGCTGGTATCAAGACGACACGCACAGTGCGTTTAATTTGCACCCACAATCCTATGATAGTTTGTCAGTGCTTGCAGAGGGCAGCCTGATTGGTTCAGTTCTAATCGGCACAGAATTAAAGCAATCAATCAACAAGAAGCAGAGGTTAATTAAAGTTTATTTTTATTGCAGTGATTGTGACTCAGGTAGACTCAGTAGGCCTGTGAGTTATGTGAAGCTGTGTCTCTCTTTTTATGCGACTGAATGGATAGGATAAAAAATTCATACCAGCAGTATAGGTGTGATGCCTCTGGATGAAAGACTTCTCCAGCTTTCTTCATCCTAATCTCCATCTTTTTCCTCAAAAGCATATGATCGATTACTATGAACAGTACTTTTTTAGTGAAACAGAAAGAACAGAAAAGCTATTCAACTGAAATACACATTGGAAAGAGAAAGAGAGCTTCTAATCCAGAATAAGCCTTATTGTTAGGGTTCAAGCATGCAATGCATTGAAACCTATTGGAATTGTCAAGATTTTTCTTCCTATTCTTTTTCTTCCCTGAAATGGAACGCACAGCCCAAACCGTAAGTCCTAGAGACTTGAAACTTGGTCAATAGGTAGTAGTCCCTCCTGCTACTCAGGCGCAAGGAATCAGCCCAGTCAGCTACAAGGGGGCGCTATAGCGCAGAAAAATCATTTTTGCCTAATAACTCCTAAACCAGATTTTTCCCAGACAAGACACATTTTTTTCTTGGTTCTATGGGTCCAAACAAACAACTTTGCCATTTGGACCATTTAGCTCCGCCCACTCAGATTTTGAGCTAATTTGCATAATATGCGAAACCTACTTTTGCGAACTAGTCCTACAGTTTTCGCCCAATCCTCAAATAATTGGTGTCAAAAAATTCAGAAGAGCCTGAAGGTCAATAATTATCAAAAACATTTTGACTTCTCTAAACAACATGGCTGCCATATGCAAATGAACCCTTCTGGATAAATTCAAAATAATTCAGAATTAATTTAAAATTCTGTAACTCAACAACACTTCAGCCAAAACATTTCAAACTTGACAGACACATTTGGGAGAAGATTCTGAGGTGCCTTTCGATTTTTGTGCGCATGTCATTAGGTGGCGGAGTTAATGCTACATGGCTGTTTCTCAGCATCTGTGCATCCGGTCAGGCTGAAACTTTGCAGAAACCATCTGTTGGCCAGACTATAAGTGAATCCATAAGGACAGTTTGATTCATTGAAGTATATGATCGCCATCAGCCAATCAGCATTTAGCAGGCCTTTCACAGGCTTAACATTGACCAATCATCATGAAACTTGAATGGTCTCTACATATAGCCACTTTCTAACAACCAGTCAAGTTTGAAAAAATTTTACCCCTGGGGTGCGCTATTCATAAAAATTAACATATTACATATTATTACTATTTTATTACAAGTTTGCTTGAAAATCCTTGTGTATCATATGTAGTACGTTATTACAAACAATTTTGCAAATGCATATTTATTACAAAACTGCATAGTTTTTTTGTAATCGGTAACTGTTTAAAAAGCCTACTTTTCGAACTAGTCCCTGGATTTTGATCCAATCTTTTCAAACTTGGTCTGGAAAAATTCTTTGGCATGTGTAGGTAAATAATTACCAAAAACATGTTGACTTTTCTGCTCAGGGTCGTGTGGATCAATCAATTAATTACTGCGACCATGGCATTGTTAGCTTGATTAGCTGTAACTCAACAGTCATTGGTCAGATCATGTCCAAACTTTAAGGACTTTTACATATTTGGACTGTAATGGTGTATGCCAATTTTGGTCCAGATTGGCCTTTAGGGGGTGCTTTAGCACTCAAAAACATGTAAAAATAAATTAAAATGCTATTACAATGTTATTACAAGGTCGACAGATAAACAAATGGAGCCATGTGACTCTCTGTTCACTCTCATGAACAACTTTCTAATTACATGTTATGTCAAAAATTGCACTGCTTGTCTTTTATTTTGCCTTATTCATTCAAAGATTTCACTATACAAAGGCTTATTATACAAAGGTCAAAAGGTCATTCTGACCAAAACTTGGTGAACCTCTTTGGATATGGTCCCTGATCAAGAATGAAACCATATTGTGGCCTTTTCACTAATTCTGACCCACTTTCACTGAGCTCCTCACACCAATAGGGCCTCTTATGAGTGCATTGGGCCTCATTATGGCCGACATCAAATCAATGGCTTAAATATAGAACCAATCCCCTGTGGAAGTGCTACTATGTGAGAAATGCTGCCATTAGTCATGTAGTTTAGACATCTATGTTGACAACCTCTTGGATGTTCTACAAACCAGTGTAGATCAGTACATATGAATAGAAACCTATAATGTGTTTAAAGACGTCTGATCGTTGTTTATGGCAACTGAAGGCCTTTTGATGAACTGACTTCCTTTCAGTTCTGTTCACTCTGCCTATAAATAAGATGGGCTAAACGAAAAGCTTGAGGCCTTTTTAGGCCTAATGGGCTAAACCTGCAGAAGGGCCCGTACTGCTGTTGCATGCTTGAACCCGCTCATTGTCGCTTGCGGCTATATTTATTATTATTATTAAGCACCATTATGATGTGTGCGACTCCTGGCGAGCATATGGACAGTGTTTCTCCAGAGTATCCTGTCTTCTGTTTGGGTCTTTAGACCATTCCTCTTCCTCTTTAACCTTCAAGTCTTCCAATCATAAAGTTTTTTTCCAGTGAATAGTTTCTTCTGAGAACGCGTCCAAAATAAAATTCTGTTCAGTTATCTGCGCTTCAAGTAAGAGATGAGAATCAGCTTGTTTGAGGACGCATTAGTTTCTTTTCTTTGCTGTCCAAGGTCCTCTCAGAAGCCAGAGTTCAAAGGCATCTATATTTTTCTTGTCTCTCTTGTTAATTGCCCAACTTTCACATCCATAAAGAATCACAGAGAAGACCACAGCCTGGGTAATTCTGATCTTTGTTTGTAGAGACAAATCGTTGCATTTGAGGATCTTTTCAAGCTCCTTTATTCTTGTTCTGCCAAGTGCTGAAATCCCATCTTTTTTCACTGTATTCTTTAATATTGTTTATAAAGGTCTTCCGGTGTTCAAGATTTTTCGCTAGGTGTTGAATCATCCACATATTGAAAGTTATTGATGACTGTTCATCAGTGTATAGCAATGGTGACCAACCCTTCTCCTGGAGATCTACTTTGCTGCAGAGTTTATCGCCTTCACCTATCATGCTGTTTTCCCCATACCTAACACTAAAGCATCTGATCCAGCCAGTCAAGGACTTGTGAAGAAGCTAATAAGCTGGAGCAGGTGTGGCAGATTGTGGTTGGACCTAGCTTCTGCAGGAAGGTAGATCTCCAGGACCAGGGTTGGTGTAGAGATTCCAGATTACAATAATGAGATGCTCTGGTATTCCCATTTTCCTGTGGACTAAGGATTTGACTAAGTATTAAGCTTTAGCCTAGACTATAAAGAATTTCCAAACAATATTGACACTTCAACTTGGTCCACGACAAGTTTATGTCTAGGAAGTGGGCCTCTGAAGTTAATTAAGTAATTTTAACAGGTAGGATTGTTAGTGTAGTGCTAAATGTCAGTATTAAAGCAAGCCTGATACCTATGACTAAACCATATTGCTAACAATAGCAAATTAATCTATGATCTAATCTATGATGTGACTCAACAGATTGCGAGTTATTCTACTTGATGTCTCGTTTTATTCTGTGCTGTTTATCACAACATGCAATTTAGGCTAACAGTGCTGTGTGTAAAGAAGTTAGGCCTGGGCGATAAATTGTATTTTGTAATCAGATATGCCAGTTATTGAGAAGTACGCCAATGACTATGTTTCCGATGCCATAATCACCATGTAGGAAAGAGAACTGAAGGAGAACTACAAAGGTTGAACTTCATTTTAAACAGCTTGCTAAATAATATTAAACATTTTGTACATACATTGTTTTATTCCCTTTTACTGTTAAACCAAAGCATAATCATGTGGCATTAAAAAGTCATTAATATTGTAAATTCCTCACTGTCTCTGCTGTCTGAGGAAAAGTCTCAGCATCTTTTGAGCAGTTAAAGTGTCCCAGTGGTTCAGATGAGTTGGAAAATTCTAAAAAGATAATACTTAATGTTTTCCCACAGACATCTGTAGCTGAATTCCAGAGCTCTCCACTATAACTTTGGAACTCCCTCTTTTCCTGAAGTTTCTCCAGCAGGGGGGCACACAAATCTCCATGAACCCACACAAGCAGGAGCTCACAAATATAAATGTGTTTATATATTTAACAACCGTTGCTACCCAATCTTCATCCCTGCTGATGCACACCACTGTAACACAGGTGTATAATGCGTTAAGTAACCTTGCATGCCTGTCTTATATTTTGCTTTGTTTATGCTGTTGTTATTGT